CCACCACAGCACAACAGACAGACGAGTGGTGGCCGTTTGGTTTTATATTGATACTGTCACTTTAACTTTCTATGTCAATCTTGATACAATCCTGATATAATCAAGATACAATCAAGTTGTTCTCTCCTGATACTATCAATCCTGATACAGTTAAGATGTTCTCTCCCAAGATGGCAGCTCCGGGAACAGCGGAGTGTCTTGATCCAGAAAACAATGGTCTTCTGGATTCTCCTGCAAATTCCCCAGCTGTAAACCCTCCGATCTTCCAAACATACCTTTATATTTGTTTCAGAGTTCCAGCATCATCTCGTGAGCCCTCTTGGCCTGGTGTTGTTGTTGACTGAGCTCCTCCTAATGGCACCACATTAGGCCCCTATATATATATATGTATATAACATTTGTTGTTGTTGTTAAGTGCCCTCAAGTCAGTTCCAATTCATAGTGATCCTATGTGCAACAGAATAGAACAACATTGCCTTGCCCGGCATCCTCCTCATAGCTTTTATGTTTGATCCCATTGTCACCGCCACCATGCCAGTCCATCTTCCTTTTTCTCACTGACCCTCTGTGATGGCCTTCTCCAGGACTGGTCCCTCCTGACAATATGTCCAAAGAAGGAGAGATTATGTCTTTTTTTTTTTTCCTAAAAAAAAGCTTTTATTGTGACTTGAGTGATAATTTACATCTTATTATTGTATTTTGTTTCATTGAATGATAAAATCCCCTCTGTGCATGCTCACATCATCATTCAACAAAATTTGCTTCTATTCCCTCTTTTTTTTTTTTTTTAATGTACACAAAAATACTCAGGAATATATAATCATTTAAACAACCTAAGGCACATTCTGCAAACCAGCCTCCCAGCTGCCAGCACATAGCCTTTCTCTTCCCATGAGTCTAGAGTCCTCAGCTGCGTCCTCTCTTCCTGACCTCATCTCTGCTTCTATCTCTGGTGTTGCTGTTTCCTCTGCATAGGGTCCCACATTCTGTGTGTGCTCTTCTCCCTTGACGGTCCTAGGGTCCTCTGTTCCTGGACTGTAAGATTAACTACTTCCCCCTTTTGTTACAAAACTTCTACCTTTACAGTTGTGATAGCCGTAATTAGTCATGATAATAGTTACTATTGAATCATAAGAATCTTATCCCCATCTCTTTCACCAGACCTGCCTAGACAAGATGAAAACTATTCAATGGGGATTCTACCTTCCCCTGCACACTCTGAAACTGAACTCCCTCTTGAGAACTTGTAAGCCAGTCACTTTGTGCCTCTATCGTTCCCTCATTTTAGATACCCAGTGTCTACGTTGCCCGTCCCTATCTACCCTGTGTACAGAGGGAATAGCATTGATCCTTGATGTCAATACTTTTGCCCTCTCAGTTGGCATCCATAAGTATAGGTCAAGTTCATCAAATTGTAGCAGTTTACACTTGTTTCCTTTATCCAATTTTTTATCGTCCTCTAGTTGAGTTCTGATTATCAAGCCATGGAGGCTAAGTCAAGTGGGTACTATCTGCAAGTTTGGGTGTTCTTGTGCGCCTCCCCTCACTTCATATCAGCTGGACACTTCACTCTCGGCTCTTGCCCTCTGTGGCTAGGTCTTTGTCCATGGGCTCAGGAGTCCCCAGGTGTCACCACACTTCAGACCAACCAGCCCTTCTCTTCTTGAGAGATTAAGTCTGACCACCCTTGTTTCTCATTTTTAGGGAGCATTCTGGTTGTACTTCTTCCAACACAGATTGTTTGTTCTTCAGGTATGTTCTTTTCCAACACCATAATTCAAATACATCTGTTCTTTTTTTATTTTCCTTATTCATTGTCTAACTTTTACTTGCATATGAGGCGATTGAGAATACCCCGGCTTGGGTCAGGTGTACCTAGTTGTTTTTAGTGCCGTTGAGTCCGTTCCAAATCGTAGTGACCTTGTATAGGGTTTCTAAGGAGTTTGGAGGGTTTGAATCACCAACATTGTGGTTAGCAGTCCAGTGCTGCTCCTACAGTGCCTTAGCCCACTTTAAAGTGGTCTTTTGTAGAAGATTTGCCTAATATAACATGTCTTTTGATTTTCTGACTGCTGCTGCTTCCATGAATGTTGAGTGTGGATCCAAGCAAAATGAAGTCTTGGATCACTTCAGTCTTTTTTCTGTTTATCATGATGTTATTTATTGGTCCAGTGGTGAGGATTTTTGTTTTTCTTTACACTGAAGTACAATCCATACCAAAGCTGTGGTCTTTGATCTTCATCAGTAAATATTTTAAGTCCTTTTCGCTTTTAGCAAGCAAGGTTGTATCATCTGCATATTACAGGTTGCTAATGAATCTTTCTCCAATCCTGAGGCCATAATTTTTCTTCATATAATCCATCTTTTTGGATTATTTGCTCAGCATACAGATTAAATAAGTATGATAAAGGATACAACCTTGGCATACACCTTTCCTGCTTTTAAACCATTCAGGGTTCCCTTGTTCTGTGTGATTGACTGCCTCTAGGTCTGTGTACAGATTTCTCATGAGTACAATTAAGTGTTCTGGAATATCCATTCTTCATAATGTTATCCATAGTTTGCTATGATTCACACAGCTGAATGTCTTTGCATAGTCAATAAGGTTCATCTAGACTTCTCTCTGGTATTCTCTGCTTTTAGCCAAGTTCCAGCTCATGTCAGTAATTGTATTCCTTGTTCCACACCTTCTTCTGAACCCAGCTTTAATTTCTGGCAACTCCCTGTCGATGTACTGCTACAACTGCTTTTGAACCATCTTCAGCAGAATTTCACTTGCATGTGCTGGTACGGATGGCCTCATTCCATTGGGTCACCTGTCTTTGGATGGGCTCAAATATGAATCTCTTCCAGTCAGTTGGCCACATAGCGGTCATCCAAATTTCTTGACAGACGAATGAATACCTCCAGCGCTGCATCCGTTTGTTGAAAGAGTTCAGTTTGTTTTCTGCCACTTCCTGCAGCCTTTTTTTATTTTTATTTTATTTTATTTTATTTTAAACAATGCCTTCATTGCAGGTTGGATGACTTCTTCCATCAGGACCATCGGTTCTTAATCATATGCCACCTCTTGAAATGGTTGAGCATCAACCATTTTTTTTTTTGGTACGCAGTTCTGTGCATTCCTTCCACCTTCTTTTGAAGCTCTCTGCATCATTCAGTATTTTGCTCACAGAACCCTTCAGTATTGAAAGTCGAGGCTTAGGGCCCAGGACCACCACCTTGAATGGCATATGATAGGAGGTTGCTATGAGGGTCGTGGAGGTGGCGACTAGAGCTTCCAGTCTCTAGAGCGTGTTCCAGGACCTCCTGAATGTGGCCCTTTGGGATTCTGCTAGATGCTGAAGGTGGGAGAAGGGTTGGGGGCCACGGAGACCGGGGCATGGTATAAAGAGCAGGCTCTGGTTTATTGTGTGTGCATGTATGTGTGAGAGCAGGCATGTGTTTGTGTGTGAGAGAGAGCAGGCATGTGTGTTTATGTGAATGTGTGTGAGAGTAGTCGTGTGTGTGTGTCAGAGAGAGAGAGAGAGCAGGTGTGTGCAAGCATGTGTGTGTTTGTGTGTGAGAGCAGGTATGTGTGTTGGTGTGTGAGAGAGAGTGCAGTCGTGTGTATGTGGGGTTGTGTGTGTGAAGAGCAGGCATGTGTGTTGGTGTGTGTGCGTGCGTGTGAGAACAGGTGTGTGCAGGCATGAGTGTGTTGTATGTTTGTGTGTATGAGAGTGTGCAGGCATGCATGTGTGTGTTTGTGCACACATGTGTGCATGTACCCCTTAGCTACTGTAAGATCAGAAATCGGGACGCATGCAGATATTTGGAGCGAGAGAACCTTGGAAGAGAAAAGGCTGAAGAGACAGAAAACAGGGTTGGGTGTGCTGGGCTGAGGCGGGTCTCTAAGGAACTGGGACAAGGTGGGATACAGGGGGAGTCAGTGAGGCCTGGGACAGGCTGTGGTGGGAAGAGAGCGTAGACCATCCTGGCCAGCCCACGTGGGCACCTTGGGTGCCTGTTCAGGGAGAAGGTAGTCCAGGGGGCCCATCGTATTCTGGTGGCTCTTCCGGACCTGACCAGGGCAGCCATCCCAGCCATCCCAGCCCACGTCAACAATGCTGTAGCCCCTGTGTTCTCATTGCAGACGTTAAAGAATTCCAAGAGCCTGTGTTCCCTGGACTATGAGGATGAGGACGAGGACGACGCCCACGTGAAGACAGTCGTGTCCTCTCCGTGCGACTCGTACGACCTCGTGGGCATCATCACGCCGGCCTCCAGCCCTGGGAGGGAGCCCCTGGGGCTGTGGACACCAAGGAGGCTCGTGGCGGCTGAGGGCGAGCACCCAGGGGCCCCCAGCGACGGTGACGGCGACTCGCACGACCTCATGAGCGTCGTCACCCCTGGTTCCAGCCCCGGGAGGGGGTGCTCCGGGCCATGGACACCGAGGGGACTCTCGGCGGCAGCCGAGGGCGACAGTGCCAGGGAGGAAGGGGTCTTCCCCCTGGACTGCGGGGACCTGGACCTGGAGCAGATTGAGAATAACTGAAGACAATGGTCCCGCCCGCGTCACTTTGAACAATAAGGCCACATTTTGATGAAAAATTTCCTAAAGAAGTATTTTACATTTTTATGGCTTTTACAGTTCGGAGAATGTGTCTCTATTTTGGAATGAATTTTCAGAAGGACATTCTATTAAAAGTGCATCTGCAAATCCACCTGTGCAGTGTGTGTCCTTGTGGGAAGACCCCCCAGGACATCAAGAGAACCACCTTGGGTCTCTGGGTGCGTCCCCTCCTCCCTGGGCTGTGCTCATGTAGCTGCCGAGCGCACAGTGATCTCTCCGTAGGGTACGAGGGGCCTGACAGAACCTTCCACATGGGCACTGTGTTCACACACAGGTGTGCAGGTACGCATGCAGACATACACTTGCATGCACACACTGTATGCATACGTGCCTGTACACACTTGCTCCTGTCGGTACACACAGGCACACACATATGTGTATGCACACCTCGATACATTCAAAAAATGAAACACTGATGATGTTGTTAAGTACCGTTGAGTCGGTTTTGACTCAAAGCGACTTTGTATTTCCTGGGTTTCTAAGGAGTGGCTGATGGTTTTGAACCACCAACTTTGCAGTTAGCAGCCCAGTGCTTAGCCTACAGTGCCACACCAGGACTCCAAGACACTGATAGGCTTTATTTAAGCCAGTTCAATCAACCTAAAAATTAATAAAAGGAACCCTGCTGCTCCGTAATTCCGAGACACTCTCCTAAATAACTCCGAGGTCAGAGAGTAAATGTAGGGTGTTGTGGCAGACGATTTTACAATTACACGGAGAGAAACTGCAGGTGCACAGAGCAGCTTAGGAAGAGCCGGGCGGAGAATTCACGACCTTAAGTGCCTTTATTACCAAGCAAGAGAGCCCAGAAATAAATGAACTAAACATTTGACACAAGTAGGGCAAAACAGAACATTACAGTAAATCCAAGGGAGGCAGGAGGGGGTGGAATAAAGATAAAGGCGGAATTAATGAATTGGAAACAAGAAAAACGGTAGAGCCCATCAGTAAATCCAAGAGCCGGTTCTGTAAAATAAAGAAAATAAACAAACTCCCCCCCACCAGTCTTCTCATCCACAGAGGGGGGCAGCAGGGAGAGTGTAGGGGCCCTTAATGAGAAGGGGGGATGGGGCGGCAAGTTAATACATTCCTGATCCTTGGTAAGATGGACAGTTTTCTAAAACATAAATTACCAAAATTAACTGAAAGAGGTTTAAGAAGAAACTATGTATAAAACTGCCAAAGAACGGGGGGAAGGTACGTGCTTAGGGTTCTGAGAAAAGGAAATGTACAATTCCGGTGGGGGAGCCTGAGGTGGAGGGGTCCCAGGCTGCAGGGGTTCAGGAGACCCACCCTGACTCAGTCCAGGAACCAGGGAGAGGCTGTGGTGGGAAGGGAGGGGTGGGCTGTGGGAAGGAGAGGAGAGTCAACTGTTAAATGGGCTGGTGGGCTGCTCTGGGGCACTGGGGTGTTTTCTCCTTGCTTGTCCAGAGGGCTGCATGCTCTTGTCCACCTGAGTCCTCACCTTGGGGTGTGGGAGGAGTAGCAGCTCCGCAGGAGCAAATCAGGAACAAGCGCCTGCGGAAGCTCAGGTTTGGGGATGGAGGAGGCGTTTGGTGGCTCTGGTAGAATTCTACCTCCTCCCATTTGTTCTGTTGTGTGTAAGGCTGCACCCAACTACAGCAACCACAATACAGGAGACCCGAGTTAGCTCCATGCCAATCAATAGACCTCGTACGCAGCCACCAACCTCAGTGGAGGTTTATACTGAGCACCACGAGCTGGCAGGAGAACAAGCCAATCTGGGTGGGAACAAGTACAGCCAGAATGCTCCTTAGAAGCCGGGCCATCCACACCACTCCACCATAAACCTCAGCCTGGAGACACTTGGCTCTAGCTCCGTGGGTCAGAACACCTAGCTCCCCAACTTAAAAGAGCCTGTAGGCACCCAACTCTACAAGCAAGCTTCCTGTGCAAAATCAATCATCTTTACTTGCTCTGTGGGCTAGGCAGCCCACTGCCCTGTTTTTTTTTGTTTTTTGTTTTTAAAGTTTTTATTGTAAATTATATGCTAGTTTACATGGGAGAACATTAGCTTTACATTCATTCTATCGTATATTACTTCATTGCCATGATTACAATCCCCTCCATGCATCATCAAACAACTAAAGGGTACACCCCATAAGCCTGCCCCACCCCCACCCCCGGTCATCAGCACACAGCCCCTCTGCCTCTCTGGGTCCAGAGTCCCCAGCCGCTCCATCTCTCCACTTCATCGTCTCTGCCTCCATCTCTGGCATCACTGCTTCTCTGGGTAAGGTCCCACACTCTGCTCTTCTCTCGTGATTGTCTCAGGGACCTCCAGCTCCTGGACTGCAAAGTCAACCACTCCCCTCCTTTTGCTACGAAACATCCGCCTTTACATTTCCAACCCTCACAGTCAGTCCTGATAGTAATTATTCATATCGTACCACAAGAGTCTTATCCCCATCTCCTTTCATCAGCTTAATCCAGACAGATTGGATACCACTCAGTGAAGAGTCTACCTTCCCCCACACCCTCTAGACCTAGGCTTCCTCTTGAAAGCTTGTAAGCCAGTCATTTCTTGCCTTTGTAGCCCCCCCCCCCACTTTTTTAATGTTTAATTGTGAATTATGTGATAGTTTACATGGGGGAACATTAATTCATTTTACATTCATCCTATCGTATATCGTTTTATTGCCATGGTTACAATTCCCTCCATGCATCATCAACCAACCAAAGTGTATACCCTACAAGCCTGACCCCTGGTCATCAGCACACAGCTCCTCTCCCTATCTGTAGCCCCCATTTTTGGTAGCCAATGTCTAACTTGCCCATCTCTGTCTACCCTGTGTACCAAGGGGGTGGGAGCGATTCTCGCTGTAAAGACTTGTTCCCTCTTTTGAGCTAAGTGTAGCAATGATTTTGAGGATGGCAGGACGGGGCAGTGCTCATTCTGTTGTGCATAGTGTCGCTATGAGTTGGAACCAACTTGATGGCACCTACCACCACCACCACCACCACCACCACCACCACTAGCAATGATGCTGACCAGATTTTAACAGACTTCCAGACTAAGATGAGCTAGGAAGAAAGGCCTGAAAACCTAGTGGATCACAATGGTCCCATCTGGGGCCAATAATCGGGGTGGCCAGGAGCAGACAGTGTTGTGTAGAAGGTTGCTATGGATCGGAACGTCAATTCGATGGCAGCATATAACAGCATAGGGATGAAGAGGTGGCAGAGTGAGTAGGTGGAAGGCTTGACCACAGAGACCCCACTGTTTCGAGGAGGACTGTGCCCACTGCCCCATCTGGGCCAGCTGAGGCTCCTGGTTATCCTCTGAGCTTCATTTGTGCTTCCACAGTCTCTTCCACCCTAGCCAGATATATGGGGTGGGGGTGGGAGGGTAGGGAAAGGAGAAAGGGACCCTCAGCCTCTGGGTCTTATTTGATTCCACAGAGCCCAAACCCTGAGGGGGCTTCCACACTACCACCTCAGCTGCAGTGGTCATCTAATGGTCAACAGTGCCCACCACTGCCCTTGTCTGGTTTTCATATCAAGATTATAGTCACCTCAGTTGAAAAATTAGGGAGCATCTTGCTTCCCTGTTCTCCAAAATTTACTGTGAAGATTGGAATTTCCTTTTTCTTACATAACTTTCATTATTGAAGAATTCTCTGGGCAAATTATTGAATAATGCAGAAAGCATCAAGAGAAGATGGAAGGAATACACAGAGTCACTGTACCAAAAGGAAACGGTTCATGTTCAACCGTTTCAGGAGGTAGCATATGATCCAGAGCCAATGATACTGAAGGAAGAAGTCCAAGGTGCATTGAAGGAATTGGCTAAGAACAAGGCACCAGGATTTGATAGAATAAAAATTGAAATCTTTAAAGAAAGTGAGGTGGTACAGGAGACACTCACTCATCTCTGCCAAGAAATTTGGAAGACAACTATCTGGCCCACTGATTGGAAGAGATCCGTATTTGTGGCCATT